AAGGACGTAACTCTTGCCCTTTTTCATACAAGTAAGGACGTAACTCTTGCCCTTTTTCATACAAGTAAGGACGTAACTCTTGCCCTTTTTCATACAAGTAAGGACGTAACTCTGTTCGCAAAGGGTGCGCTTTTCCGAAGAGGGTGCCCCCGGATTTTGAGGACGCTTTTTTTAATTGGCTCAAAGAGAGGAGTGTACTTTCTTGTTATGTATTATCATTGGTATTGTCTGAATGGAGAGCTAGCGTCTGGGTTAGATTCCCATTTATGAAAATATTTTCCAATGTATGTTTTTACTCGGATGGTACATCTTTCTCAGCCTGGGTTGGCCCCGACAGGCAGAGCCGAAGCCTGCCTCGAAGGTGATCTCTAAATAATTTCTGTGGGGATGTAAAGCGCGTCCTTAAAGTACATTAGAAAAAAAAGACCCCAAAAGGGACCCATAAACCTACTAAAACCTACAGAAAACAATTTTTATTTTTAAAAATTGTAGAGGCGTTAAAATGACCCCATCTGTTCGGAGAGCGGGTAAAAAAGAAACCGTGCTAGGAAACTGATTTTTTGAGTGCTTTCGACACTTTGGCGTTATGGCGTGAAACTGGTGCTGTGGATGTGCGAGCATGATCTATGACTGTTTCCTAACATGTTTTGTCCCGTCAGCCTCCCTAATTAACCGTGTGAGTCAACTGCACAGATCCGCGCTGGTAAATACGAGGGAGGTGACAGAATATTGATCGTTTCGCTTCGCGTCAGATTCGGCCCTCGGTATCGATTATCTCGTTGCCGAAAACTAATGAATGTTCGGGGAGACTCGGCCAATGTTGTCAACTTCCTCCACCCGCCAAAACACACACCCTTTCACCCCCCCCCCCCCCCTTTCCCTCTGTTTCTCGAACGATCAGATTATGGGGTGTGGCCACAATACGGCTATTCGAAATCGAAAGGTTTGTTGTCCGCTGCCCAAGCCCAAGTACAGTACATGTACCTTGTTTGATGCCGAGTCTGTGCAAAGATGTTTAGTGAATGACTTAAGATTTATTTAAAAATTATTATTTCATTTTTAGAGGTTTGGGGGCTGTTTAGGTATCACAGTTCACGCTGGCTCATTAACTGGCTCAAACGGTTAAACTTTTAATTTCTTTGTCCTTTAAAAATAAATCAACCCCAAGAGTCCATATCAAACCTACGCACACACAATGACCTTATTCAGTTGCCGTAAAACTCTTGCCAAAGCAAACAAAACTTACGCTCCAAAAAGCGCACGACTTCAGAGGTCTGCTTCACAACATGGTAAAATAACGCCTGCCGCCTCGGCCTCACGAACTAAGCTTTCCCCAAAGAGGTTATCTAAGGTCCTTGGCTTTCCCATATTATGTAGATTTCTACGGGATTTTTGTTCTTCCCACCTTCTGCATTTCCCGTTGGTGCCTATTGTTGGAGTCACCACGGGGCGTTCTTGAACGTGGGCTTTTTCGGGAACTTTTAGGCGTTTCATACGCTTGACTTAGTTGCAAGATAACCTTGGAACAGATCATAGGTCCAAATTTGGATGTAACTTTACGATACTGAGAGGTGATTTTAATAACCTCGTCTAATGGGACGTTCGCTTCAAATTCAGACGAGAGAAAGAACGAAACACAATCGATTGTCAAAGATTTTTTAAAATCCTTTTTTGTTAAAGTTTCAAGATCCACTGCTTCTGGGCGCTCCTTTAGCTCAGTTGGTATCAAGCTTGGCTACGATGCAGAGGACGTGGTTCGAACCCTTTACTAGACATTTTTTAACTTGGATTGTCTAACTAAGGAGTTTTCGCGGCTTTTTAAAAAAAAAGTCACTATAGTCTTAAAAAGACCCCCTAAAAAGACCCCCTAAAAAGACCCCCTA